TGACAACAAATAAATATAATGAAGTTTGTAATTTGAAGAAGGAAAAAATGAGATAGTATTAACTATTAAGGCTATTCAACTGTGCAATAGCCCAGAGTTACATATTTTAAGAGGAATATAACTTTCAGAAATACGTTGGGTTGCCAATTCCTTTTGAATTCAAATGTGGATTCATTGAACACTATCGATCCAAATAGTTATTACATTTTCATTTTAATTTTAATCCAAAAGATATCAGTTCAAAAAGGCTTTTTATCATTTGAAATGTAAAAGAACACACACATCAAGAGATGGATAACACCAGCATGGAATTCATAAGTCATAACAGGAACAAATACCTTGTTTATTAAACCATCGTCTATGACAGAACTGCTGATGCTCTTTGTACAGCTCGAACAATGCTTCAACTTCACTTACACTAACTATGAGAGCAAGAATCAAACACACAAAAAAGTTATGAATATATGAGAGGAATTTAGACAGATATGAAACAGATAGATAGATAGAACAGGATGGGAGAGGTTATATGCAAGTAAGCAAAATGTTGGGGTCTAGTAATTTTGAAATGCAGTAACTTGGTGGCATAGAAAAAAGACTTTTATACGTATAGATTCGTTGGCGCGGAGCAGAACGTGCCGCGATGGAGATTAGGTCGTCGAGGGGTCGCGCTGCTGCTGGTCGCGTCGATGGATATTAGCTCGCCGAGGGGTCGCACCGCTGCTCGTTGCGTCAATGGAGATTGGGTCGCCGAGTCGCCGAGCCGTTGCTGGTCGCGTCGATGGAGATTGGGTCGCCAAGGGGTCGCGCCGTTGATGGAGAACGTGTGGTCGCCGGAGAAGAAAGCTCAACGAGGGGGGTGACGGCGGCTAGGGCAAGAAAGGGAGGGGAAAGAGAATAAGATGGGCTAGGGTTATTTTTGTTTTCTTTTTATTTCCTAAATAGAATATGCCAATATATTAAAGGAAATTTTTTTCCTAATCCTTTTATTAAAAGGAAACTGTCTTTAAAAAGGTTTTGGGAAAATTTAAAAGAGAGCTTAACTAAATTTCAAAACCCAATATCCTAAATTCACAAGGGAATTAACTTTAAATTCTAGTTTACCAAAAATTAGAACTGGAAAACTAGAAAAATCCAAGAATATAAGTTCACCGCTTAGGGAAAAATCCAAAGGCTCGATTTAAATCTTAAAAAGAAATTAACTTGAAAACTTGGGGCGTTACCTGAAAACACCAAAACAATTAGAATTAAAATTCATAACAAACTCACGTCAATCCAGAATAAAATAAAATAAAAAAGAAAAATGAAATCAAAGGAAATAATTTAGAATAAATTTGAAATAAATTATAATTCTTTATGTTACAAAAAATCCCACTCTAAAAAGGATTTGGGAAAAATAATTAACTTTCAAAACCCAACCATGAAATGCAAAAGGAAAAATTAAATTCCCTAAACATTGGATTAAGATTTAATAAAACAAATCACTTTAAAAAAATTTTAAAACTTAATTCATCTCAATCTAATGAGAGATTGGACTTTAAGCTCTAATTTACCCAAAAATAGATCTCTGAAATTAGAAGATCCAGTAATTTAATTATCCTTAAGGGAAAATCCAAATGCACAATTTAAATCTTAAAATAAAAATAACTCGAAAACTTGGGACGTTACAGAAATCATCTTTTTCAATATCTTCTTCCCCAACATTAGAAGTCTCATCTTTCTCGAAAGAGTCGGGAATTGTAATATTTAAAAAAAAAATATTACCAATGCTATTTTAGAATGGTCGGGGATATTAATATGTTCCGACTATTTCAAAAATAGTCGGGAATTGTAATATTTAAAAAATTAAAAAACAATAGCGCCCAACAATTTATAAAAATATTGGTGTAAAGTCTACTATTCAAATTTTTTTTATAAAAATAGTGGTGAGTGGTATTTTTAAAAAATGAAGATAAATTTTGACCGACTATATAATAAAATAGTCGGGAATAGAAATCTCTCCCTTCTATTTCAAAAATCGTCGGGAGTCGTAATTTATTAAAACAAAATTTTACCCTACTATTAGGCAAAAGCGTCGGTAAGAGTAACTTCACCCAGTGTCGATAATAAAAGCGTCAAAAATATATTCCTTTCCAGATTATTTTGGTCAATAGTCTGCAGAGTCTCAACTATTATTCCTTAATCGGGAAAAAGATGTTTGCCCCAGCGTCGAGAATAAAAGCGTTGGAAAAAACTCATAATTCTTGTAGTGTCGGCGATCGATTATGTGTCCATAAAAGTGATGTTTGGTGTACACATGTGTCCATAAGTCTCAGTGGTCTTCAACGTTCAATTCACACAAGTATTATCATTATATATATATATATATATATATATATATATATATATATTTTACAAAAAGAAATATCTACTAAGTTTCTATTTTTCATTTTATTGACTTGTTTCTATTTTCTTTCAAAAAGTTACCATTAATATTCTTAAAAATTTAGACAAGAATCTAATAAAAAAAACAAGTTCTCAAAACTAAGATTTAATATGGGAAATTTCTATCGAAACTTCAAAATTTTATGTTATAAAGATTTAAAGCTTCATGAACCTAACTAGTTCCAATTTAAACTCAAATTAATTCCTAACCATTCGATTAAGTTGATTACCTTTCATTCCAATATAAAAAAATCAGGGTATAATTTAAATGTTAATATTTTATTTACGGAATGCTTGGTAAAGCTAGAATTAACTTATATTATTTTTTTATAAAAATATATTAATAGAGGGTTGAAAAAATAATTTAATTTCATAGGGCTCAAACTCGGGACCGAAGAGAGGAATGACACAATTACGCTAAGCAAATATACCACCATAACAAATACCATCTTCTACTTGTTTCATGCAGTATTTGGGGAAACTATGAAACATAAATCTATACTCGATGCGACCTGACAATCCCGAAATAATTAATATCGTTAACGAAGTTGCAGTTTTTCGGACAAGAATGAAACACGCTCAAAATCATTTGTTTTTGTATGTCATACATTATCAAGATGATCTAGGTAATTGTCATAAAATACTTGAAATTCTTTTATTTTCATTGACAACTATAAAATGTCATAAAAGCCTAAAAATTTTCGTAAAGTGCCGTTTTATCCCGCCAAAATCGCGCCTCCACCATTCGTGACATTTTTCCACTGTCATTGAAATTTCGATTTTCGCAACAGTTTCTAACTGTCATAAAACTTACAAAATCCGAAAAATAGCATTTTTTCCCGC